CGACTGTTTTGTGCTGCTAACGACCAATACTAACAACCCCTATCACTAGTTTTTCGATTTTGGGAAAGTCAATTTTGGCCCAAATTTCGCATTTTTGATAAGGGGTACCATCATCAAAATTTTCAAAAATGGGCCCAAAATGAAGTTTCCCAGATTTGAATGCAAACCAATTGGGAATCATGGCCATTAAGTTACGAGCCCTACGAGGTATTACATTCCTCATTTGGCCCATTTTTGGCTGTGCTATGGCCAAAGAACTGATTTTTTATGCCCGAAATTATGCTACGTCTTTTGACAGCAGAGAGCACGGCCTAGTTGCCGTTTCTTAGCTCTAACTTTGTCAAAACAAGCCGCATAGCTTAAACAATGACTGTTTTATGTAGCTAACGACCGAATCTTAACACCCCTATACTTACTTTTTGCGTAAGTGTTTTAGGAAACCGGATTTTATGCCGTTTCTTAGCTCTAACTTTGTCAAAACAAGCCGCATGGGTAAAGCAATGACTGTTTTATGCAGCTAACTCTCGAACCTTAACACCCCTATACTTAGTTTTTGAGTTATTCTTCTGATTTATTGCTGCGAGCTCTCTTTTATGGTCTAAAATATCAGGAAACCGATTTCTAACAGAAATTCGCAACATTCTTTTCGGTTTTTAGCTCTAGCTCGGTCAAAACAAGACGCACAGCCAAAAGAACGACTGTTTTGTGCTGCTAACGACCAATACTAACAACCCCTATCACTAGTTTTTCGATTTTGGGAAAGTCAATTTTGGCCCAAATTTCGCATTTTTGATAAGGGGTACCATCATCAAAATTTTCAAAAATGGGCCCAAAATGAAGTTTCCCAGATTTGAATGCAAACCAATTGGGAATCATGGCCATTAAGTTACGAGCCCTACGAGGTATTACATTCCTCATTTGGCCCAGTTTTGGCTGTGCTATGGCCAAAGAACTGATTTTTTATGCCCGAAATTATGCTACGTCTTTTGACAGCAGAGAGCACGGCCTGGTTGCCGTTTCTTAGCTCTAACTTTGTCAAAACAAGCCGCATGGGTAAAGCAATGACTGTTTTATGCAGCTAACTCTCGAACCTTAACACCCCTATACTTAGTTTTTGAGTTATTGTTCTGATTTATTGCTGCGAGCTCTCTTTTATGGTCTAAAATATCAGGAAACCGATTTCTAACAGAAATTCGCAACATTCTTTTCGGTTTTTAGCTCTAGCTCGGTCAAAACAAGACGCACAGCCAAAAGAACGACTGTTTTGTGCTGCTAACGACCAATACTAACAACCCCTATCACTAGTTTTTCGATTTTGGGAAAGTCAATTTTGGCCCAAATTTCGCATTTTTGATAAGGGGTACCATCATCAAAATTTTCAAAAATGGGCCCAAAATGAAGTTTCCCAGATTTGAATGCAAACCAATTGGGAATCATGGCCATTAAGTTACGAGCCCTACGAGGTATTACATTCCTCATTTGGCCCAGTTTTGGCTGTGCTATGGCCAAAGAACTGATTTTTTATGCCCGAAATTATGCTACGTCTTTTGACAGCAGAGAGCACGGCCTAGTTGCCGTTTCTTAGCTCTAACTTTGTCAAAACAAGCCGCATAGCTTAAACAATGACTGTTTTATGTAGCTTACGACCGAATCTTAACACCCCTTTACTTACTTTTTGCGTAAGTGTTCTGATTTTTTAGTGCGAGCTCTGTTTTAAAGGCTGAAAAATTTAGGAAACCGGCTTTTATGCCGTTTCTTAGCTCTAACTTTGTCAAAACAAGCCGCATGGGTAAAGCAATGACTGTTTTATGCAGCTAACTCTCGAACCTTAACACCCCTATACTTAGTTTTTGAGTTATTCTTCTGATTTATTGCTGCGAGCTCTCTTTTATGGTCTAAAATATCAGGAAACCGATTTCTAACAGAAATTCGCAACATTCTTTTCGGTTTTTAGCTCTAGCTCGGTCAAAACAAGACGCACAGCCAAAAGAACGACTGTTTTGAGCTGCTAACGACCAATACTAACAACCCCTATCACTAGTTTTTCGATTTTGGGAAAGTCAATTTTGGCCCAAATTTCGCATTTTTGGTAAAAATGGAAAATCAAAATTTTCAAAAATGGGCCCAAAATGAAGTTTCCCAGATTTGAATGCAAACCAATTGGGAATCATGGCCATTAAGTTACGAGCCCTACGAGGTATTACATTCCTCATTTGGCCCATTTTTGGCTGTGCTATGGCCAAAGAACTGATTTTTTATGCCCGAAATTATGCTACGTCTTTTGACAGCAGAGAGCACGGCCTGGTTGCCGTTTCTTAGCTCTAACTTTGTCAAAACAAGCCGCATGGGTAAAGCAATGACTGTTTTATGCAGCTAACTCTCGAACCTTAACACCCCTATACTTAGTTTTTGAGTTATTCTTCTGATTTATTGCTGCGAGCTCTCTTTTATGGTCTAAAATATCAGGAAACCGATTTCTAACAGAAATTCGCAACATTCTTTTCGGTTTTTAGCTCTAGCTCGGTCAAAACAAGACGCACAGCCAAAAGAACGACTGTTTTGAGCTGCTAACGACCAATACTAACAACCCCTATCACTAGTTTTTCGATTTTGGGAAAGTCAATTTTGGCCCAAATTTCGCATTTTTGATAAGGGGTACCATCATCAAAATTTTCAAAAATGGGCCCAAAATGAAGTTTCCCAGATTTGAATGCAAACCAATTGGGAATCATGGCCATTAAGTTACGAGCCCTACGAGGTATTACATTCCTCATTTGGCCCATTTTTGGCTGTGCTATGGCCAAAGAACTGATTTTTTATGCCCGAAATTATGCTACGTCTTTTGACAGCAGAGAGCACGGCCTGGTTGCCGTTTCTTAGCTCTAACTTTGTCAAAACAAGCCGCATGGGTAAAGCAATGACTGTTTTATGCAGCTAACTCTCGAACCTTAACACCCCTATACTTAGTTTTTGAGTTATTCTTCTGATTTATTGCTGCGAGCTCTCTTTTATGGTCTAAAATATCAGGAAACCGATTTCTAACAGAAATTCGCAACATTCTTTTCGGTTTTTAGCTCTAGCTCGGTCAAAACAAGACGCACAGCCAAAAGAATGACTGTTTTGAGCTGCTAACGACCAATACTAACAACCCCTATCACTAGTTTTTCGATTTTGGGAAAGTCAATTTTGGCCCAAATTTCGCATTTTTGATAAGGGGTACCATCATCAAAATTTTCAAAAATGGGCCCAAAATGAAGTTTCCCAGATTTGAATGCAAACCAATTGGGAATCATGGCCATTAAGTTACGAGCCCTACGAGGTATTACATTCCTCATTTGGCCCATTTTTGGCTGTGCTATGGCCAAAGAACTGATTTTTTATGCCCGAAATTATGCTACGTCTTTTGACAGCAGAGAGCACGGCCTGGTTGCCGTTTCTTAGCTCTAACTTTGTCAAAACAAGCCGCATGGGTAAAGCAATGACTGTTTTATGCAGCTAACTCTCGAAACTTAACACCCCTATACCTAGTTTTTGAGTTATTGTTCTGATTTATTGCTGCGAGCTCTCTTTTATGGTCTAAAATATCAGGAAACCGATTTCTAACAGAAATTCGCAACATTCTTTTCGGTTTTTAGCTCTAGCTCTGTCAAAACAAGACGCACAGCCAAAAGAACGACTGTTTTGTGCTGCTAACGACCAATACTAACATCCCCTATCACTAGTTTTTCGATTTTGGGAAAGTCAATTTTGGGCCAAATTTCGCATTTTTGATAAGGGGTACCATCATCAAAATTTTCAAAAATGGGCCCAAAATGAAGTTTCCCAGATTTGAATGCAAACCAATTGGGAATCATGGCCATTAAGTTACGAGCCCTGCGAGGTATTACATTCCTTATTTGGCCCATTTTTGGCTGTGCTATGGCCAAAGAACTGATTTTTTATGCCCGAAATTATGCTACGTCTTTTGACAGCAGAGAGCACGGCCTGGTTGCCGTTTCTTAGCTCTAACTTTGTCAAAACAAGCCGCATGGGTAAAGCAATGACTGTTTTATGCAGCTAACTTTCGAAACTTAAAACCCCTATACTTACTTTTATCATTACGGTTCTGCTTTTTCGGTGCGAGCTCTGTTTTAAAGGTTAAGAAATCAGGAAATTTATTTTTAACAGATATGTCCAATACCATGTTCAGTTTTTTAGCTCTAGCTCGGCTAAAAAAATGGGATTACAGCTAAAAAAAAGGAATATTTTGTCAAGTTTGTCGAAACACACCATCCCTAAAAATTTGCTTGTTAGATTAATTTAATTAAATACGAACCTGCATATTCAAAGGAGCTTATAGAGGGGCGATGACGGGAAGAAAATTGGGGATATGTAGGATTGAGAGGCCTGCAGTGCTCATTGCGGTAGCAAAAGTTATTTGCTGTGTTATTTTCACAACAACTTCCGCTCAACGCAGAAACGGATATCCTGCCTCTGAGTGAGAGATCTAGATACGTACGAGTATACTATATATATGTATGTGGATATAGATATGGTGATGAGGAGAAGAGAAGGGAAAAAGTTGTTGGTGCAGCTGCTTGGGCGCCTTGTCTTGCCTGTTGTTAGCTGTAAGACCCCTCGACCGCCCCTCGCCATATGCAAAATTTTGCTTTTACAACTCCTCGGCTCAAACTTTGACTTGCGACCCAAACCCTGGCAATTTAAACTTTCTGATTAATTTTAATAAATATATTTTTGTCCTTTATTTGTAGAATTTTTTCGTTTACCATATAATATATATAATTTGTCTTGTATATATATGCTTGTTTATTTATTATATATAAGATATACTTTACTTTATGCGTTTACTGCTGGTTTATATAGAGCGGCTGTTCTCATTTTTCAGGGGGATTATCGAGAGAACTTTGATTAAGCTTCAGTTTTTTTTTTGCTTTGTTTTGGGTGAACGTTTTTAATCAATCCTTAAAGTCATCCTAAATACACATTACAGTTTATCCGCATTGGCTATATACATTTTATTTAGCTTTAACTTTTCTTAATGAGCTGTCTTATATACATTTCCTATACTTAAAGTAGTAGTAATATAAAAGCAACGCAATGAGAACCTAATTTATTACACATTTAAATGGATTTTAGCCACAACAAAACTATATACAGAATGTGAAAAGTCGAAGGATTCAAGGATTCTATAACATTTCCTCTAGTTTATCTTATTTATTTTCGTTCAGCATTTAGGTCTGCTAATAATGGCACATAATATTATTGTGTATTTCGATTTTTCTTTTGATATAAGTACAGTACCATATAGAGAGATATATCCCGCTTAGCATATGAACAACCTTTAATGGCTCTGATTCTTCTAGAGTCCATTTGTATAACTATGATTTTTTTCATTTCTATATATGACCCTTTTTACAAATTTCCATTATGAGTTTAGCATTTACTTATTTTGCTTTATACACGAACCAAACAAACTGCTTATATGCAGTTGTGCTCAAAATAATAGAAGTCTGATCGTGATTTTAAACGATCAAATAAAAAATGTTGGTTTGTTTTTAATGAGATTATGTTTTGAAAACATGTTATATGGAACCAAAGTTAAAATTAAATAAGTTTTTAATGATTTTTCTAAAATCATCTTCAACTGATCAAACCAGTTTAGTATTATTTTGTTATCTTTAAGGCTTATCTATTATTTTGAACACAACTGTCCATATATGGTATATGAATATGTGTGTAGGGGGTTGCTTAGATGTTGTGGCTAGATTTGGTTTTATTGTTACAGCGGCAGTACAAAGCAGCTCTTAATTAAAATGCAACAAATGCACAAAGGATCCTGCTGCTAGACAACTGTTGCACAATGGGGCCAGGCAGGACTCGAATAAAATTTCAATTAAATCAATTCGAGTTTGTGGCCAGAGGGGCCCAGTGTCAAGTGTCCTGAGGTCTGAGTACCCAAAATACAGAGTACTGACTGAGTACCAAGTACTGACTACTAAGAACTGAATCCTTCGTTTTGTGTGTCCATCGAGTGATGCTCACACACACGAGCAACATGCAACTTGCAACCAGAAACTGGCAACCTGAAGCAGCTGTAATTGAATTTCTGCTGCTGGAGTGGCTTGTTATCTCGTATTTGTTTAATTTTATTTCTCGCTCGGCCGCCCGGCAGTCATCATCAACTGATGAAAAGATACGGCTGCAAGCCAAAAATTTTGTTCAAGCTGGGTTATTTGCTCTGGTCAAAGCACAGCGAGAAAAACGGGATAGAAATCTAGTTGACAAAAGCAAGTAAATAAATAAATAAAATGGTTAAGAAAATATTCAGAACTTATGAAATAAATAAAATAAAAAAATGTTCAGAACTGTATTTTTCTTAGATATTGGGAAAAATATTGGGAATTTGCATAAACTTAAACAGCCTATTAAAATATTAGTTTAGGAATTTTAACAACGATTTTTAGAAGTGTTTTTAGCAGTGTTTCACTTATTTAGCCAGCTGTTGCTCGACAGCCGCTTGTCAGCCATTGAGACATTACAAAGCGAAGCCATTTACCAGGATACCAGACTGCATACACGCACACACTCACACACTTAGTGTCATACAATAGGAATATTCAAGCCGACACTCATTTCGTTATTAAATCAAAAAAGTTGAGTAAATTTCAGCCAGCGGCGTACAGACTCCGCACTTATTTTGCCCATATTTTCCCTATATATTTTCCTCTCATTTTCCCCTACGTATTATCCACGCCCCCGCGCCTTTTTCTCTGAAACCCCTCTTTGCCCTACCATTTATATGTGTGTAACAATTCAACTTGATTGCCATTTGTTTTAGCGAGCTGCTGTCCCGCCTTTTCCCCGGAAAATGCGGAAAATGTTTTGCGGCCAACACACGCACACAAATACATTTTCCACCAAAACCCCCATGCCTTGCCACACAGCCTGCAGCCCCGTCCACCGTCAAGTAAGCGGTGTATTCAATTAAACTTCCGTCAAACATGAAGCAAACTCCCAAAACTCCCCCTGCATTTTCCTCTTGCCTTGGGGTTATAAAATAAACATGTTGCCACACACAAAATTTAAATAGATACAAGTTCGCCACACTGCATAACACAATAAACCGCAGTAAAACAAAGGCGGTTGGAAAAAAGTACGCCAAAAAGAATGGCCCTCAAAAATATGATGAAGATTAAGATGAGCCGGCATATAACTCAGGTCCGGGATGACCAAGAAATTTTCTTAAGGAAAGTATTAAATATGTTTCCCTATTAAGTTTCAGGTAAGTAGATTAAAGATTTTATTACAATGGCTTTACTGTTGCTTTAAAAATAGCATGAAATGTGAAAATCCATAAAGTATAAAAGCTTACAGTCAAAACTAAAAGTAAAAAAAGTTTAACATTTCCTTCTGAAATAATTTAAAAATACCCAAAACTAATAATTGATATAATACAATATTTTCTTCCAACAAAAAGAATTTAAGGTCTAGGGACCACTTTCAACTTGCGTTTCCCATCACCATAACAATAGCAACTTAAAGACAGCGGTCACAGTAAGGAATGATAAAAAGGGAAATGCGAAATTAAAATACAATTTGACGGCATCAAGTAGAGCAATTAAGCGCTTCTCCCCGCCACGCAAAAGTAGGCAACACGAGGATAGACAGAGACGGCAGAGAACACGCGCACAGGCAGACACACCATTGTGTGCGGGAAAACTTGATTACAAGTGTCGCGGAAAGCCCCAAAAAACAACTCAAACTGCGGCTCCATAACAATCATAATCAGCAAAATGCACATGTACACTCGCAAAAAAAATAAAAACAAAATAGAGATGTTAACTAACTACTAATATAACTTTCTCATTATTAACCTTATAATCAACTATTAAAACCATTAAAATAATACATTTTTGTTTTATTTTTGATCACATTAAGGGGATATTCAAATTAATGATAATCAATACGAATTTTTCCGTCTGTAATTCTCATTTTGTGCATGTTTGTCTGGCATTATTACTGCTGTGTATTTATATTTGTTGTGCTATTTACGCAATACAACAAAGGACAACAGAGGATGTGCGATTTTAAAGGCAGCGAATGTGAAAGCAGTAGTGGTAATGGTACTAACAAAAGAAGCTGCTGCAGCAGCAACAACAAAAGTGATATGACCAGCAGCAACATCCCCGCAGCAACATCTCCCTTAGAATTAGCTCAACTGCCAAAAACTGCAATAATAATGGAAATAACCCCACCGAATTGGAGCAGGAATTTCGAAATGCTTGTAACTCTTTTTCATATATTTCATTTCCTATATGTTTAGCTAGAGTTTAAGAGCTGTGCATAAATAAATAACTTTTCCCAGTTAGTAATTCTTTTAAGGCAGAAATCTTTAAAACACACCAGAGAAAATGTAAATGTTTAGCAGAGCTTTTCTTGTAGCAACATGAGGTGACTGCCAAACAAGAAACATCAACATTAACACGAACAGCAACAACATCATCAATGGACAATGCCAGTAGCAACTGCAGAGTAGCAACACCAACAGCAGCAGCAACATCAACTTGCATAGCAGCAACTTGCAACATCAGTAAAAGTGTTGCTGCCGGTTGACTAGTTCTCGACGTAGTACGTCGTTGCTGCTTGGCTTCCTTTTCTTCAAGGGGTCTATGTAATTTGAAACACTTGTGTCAACGTGGCTAAAACACCCCCACATTTTGGCCCTCTTTCGGCCCCTACTTAACCCACTAAAGCCCCTGTTGGTGACATGTTTCTTTGGGTTGCTGCTACTGCCTTTTGCTGCTGATGTTGCTGCTGTGTTCATGTTGCTGTTGCTGCGGTTGTCAGCGTCTTATTATCATCATCAGTGGCAGCTTTTGGCGGTTTTGTATATTTGTAGCTGTCTTGGTTTTTTTTTATTTTAGTTTTAAGTTCTGGCAGAGGATTGTTTTGGGTTTTTCCAAAGGGGTTTGGGGGTTGCTGCTTACAATGAAATTCACTTTGCCAAAAAGTTTTCATTTCATTAAAAACGTAGCTGTGTGTGTGGCTGGGTGTGATATATGTATGTGTTTGTGTGTGTGTGGTTAACTGACATGCAAGTAATTCATCAAAAGCAAATGCAACGCAGATGGGAGCCGAGAGTTTTCTTTGTCCACAACTTCTGCCCCACAGCTGCCACACACACATTTCCAAAAAAAAAAAAAAAAAAACTAACGCACTCATATACATACACAAATATACACACACGCAGCTGCAAAGACAAGACGTTGCCACAAAAAAAAAATAAATAAATAAAAAACACTCCGCTGCAAAGACTTCAAAAATAAAACAAAAAGTTTTGGCAAAAACCAAGAAATAGTTGGCAAAACAAGGGTTAAAAGCAGCATATGAACGGGTTAAGAGGCAAAGACTGAGAGAGCATCACAGCTTGTGTGCAAATCATTTGCATGAAAATAAGAAATTTAATTATATTTAAGAGTACAGCACAGCAACACAATTAACAAATCTGCTGACAAAGAAATAAATTATAAAAAGGTCTCGAAGTCTATTTATCATAAACCCACTCCCTTTTTCCACAGGATCTCTCACAAGTGTCAATCAAAGTTGAACAAATGAACAAAACTCAGTCAAAAGTAGCCCAAATTACGAATAAGAAACAAAAAGTCAAATAAAGCATTTTTTCAACAAATCAAAAAAGTTTCCCTTTGTTTTTATGTTTCTGTTTTATATTAATTGACCTTTCGAAAGTTTTGTAAATCGGTTTGGGAAATCGGAAATTGGACAAAAAAGGTGTGTTAGCCGCCAAAAATCTAAATGAGAAAATCAACAAAAAGTATCCTGCAAGGGTTGATTATAACAAATAGCATGAAGGAAGATGTAGACTTCAAAGTACCAAATATAAAATGTTGTTCCTTCATTGGCCACATCGGTTGTCCTCAAACTCTTCGAATCCCTTTCCTATTTATGCTATATTAAAAAAAAACGAGATTTTTGTCCCAATCGGGAACTGATTTTTGTTTTTCAGTGCTCGATTCACTGTAAATGCTTTTGGGTACCGCTTAACCTTAGATTAGCTGTGATTACTTAACTGTGCAACCCCCTTAAAAATGTTTCAGTAACACTAAAAATTCTTGCGTTAAATACATTCACTAATTATGGATGCCTCGAAACACCATCCCTGTTTTTTGTTTTTCACTTATGTTATAAACAATTTAACATTTGCTACTACAACATGTGTGTTTTATATGTTTAAGTCTCTTAATGGTTAAAGAGATTGTTGGTGAAATTGTTGTTGAATGTTTGCTCCGAATGCTAAGTCCTTGGACATTTACACACTTAAACACTTTTTGGGGATTGCTGGTGTTGTTTGGTGAGCATGTTGTTAAATATTTAGTCCCTTCGACTTTTACACTTGAAACGTTTGTGTTTTTTGGTTGAGAATTTATGTTTTACAGACTGTTAGTTATTGTGTTTTTTAGTATTTAATTAAAGTTTTGCATTAAAGACCTATAAGGTTGTGTTTTGTTGCTGTAGCTATTTAGACTGTCCCTGGGGCTGCTTTACATTCACTCAAACACTTGTGTTATTTGGTGGAAAATGTGTGTTGGTGAAATTATTTTTGATATCCTTAGACTGGGTATTAGACACTACAACATACTTCTTACTTGATAGTAGGTATTGCCTGATGAATGTCTTGTTGTAGTCGGATCATATATAGACCTTATTTTCCTTCGTTGCATCCGTGTATTGTTGAGTCTGTTGCTTCTGTGGCTGAATGTGCTGGTGAGTCCATTAGACTGTGTATTATAAGAGGCTGAGCAGAAGGCCGGACACGGACGACAAGCCCATTAAGAACGACTGTCGACAGTGCCAACTCCTGGGCAGAATGAGCAGGACGAGAATAGGTAGAAGAACGGCCAAATGGTGACCCCGACGCAGTCGTGAATCGCCGGAGCCGGAGCTCATTTCGTTATTGTCGATGGGAACGCGCACTTCCGTATTGCCACCGTAATATGGCGGGGGCTTGCGGGTGATGCCGCCCATTTCGCCACCAGGTAACCCCAGCCCAATGCCACCCACTGGACCACCACCGCCACTTGCCCCACCGTGTTGCTGGTTGTGGTGGTGGTGATGGTGGTGCTGCTGATGTTGATGCTGATGCTGATTGCCGCCGGAGTTTCCCGGCTTATGTGTGGCCGGTTTATTGCCGCTGGTGTAGTAAACGTGCGGCGATAACGGTGTCAGGCCACCGCCTTCGCCACCTTCCGCATCGAAATCCTCGGCGGATCCGTACTGCAGCTCCTCATCCTCCGGCTGGTAGGTGACTTTGACTTGTTGTTTCTGCTTCAAAATGTCATTGGCATCCGCATCCAGGCTACCGCCCGCTCCCCCGCCACCTTTTCCGCTGCCGTTCAGCGGATTTTTATTACGATTCGGTCCGGGGATTTCTGAAAGGCAGCGAGTGCAAAAAAAAAAAAAAAAAAATGGAAAAACAAAGGAGCGAATGAGAAAATGTAATTGAAACAAAGGTGCAAATACGTCGCCATTTCGCGGATTCCAGGCACTACAGCGGCAGTCAAGTAAATAGCACAGCCAGCAGAAATTTCAATAAACTTATTTAATTGTATTGTCATTTTGAAGTTTATACAAATGCCAATACATTTTATTGCTGAGAGTGCAATACATGATTCTTTGATTTACATTCAACATCTTTCTTAATTACGATGGTATCTAACTTGATTGCCTCCACTGTAGGCACCGCATTTATAACCCATTGTTGGAGAATTGCAAAAAAAAACTCACCGTATAAGCGGATACTGCTGTCGACTTCACCCAGTGAGTTTTTGGCTATGCAGCGATAGGATCCGACATCGTCCTTCTGGAACTTCCTGACTATCATCGACATTTTGGTCTCGTACATGGACTGCGAACTCTCCTGGACATGATACTTGCCCGATGTCACGATCATCTCTCCTAATGTGATGAACGGTCAAAATGAATGGTTAAATTTTAAAATTTAAACTTTTATTTTAAAGCCTACTATGTTATTTTTTAGAAAATTTATAAATTTAATATTAAAGCAATCTGCGAACTTAACATCAGGCAAATGTCAATCTTTTGAATTAAGTTACAGGTTTCGTTTCAGTATATTTTCTCCTGTCGTTCACATCACAACTAGTTTTGTTGGAAAAATATTTAAAAAAAATAATAAAAAAAAATTTCCCAAAGGAAATTCTACCGTGGAAATTTGGGTGAGTTGAAAGTGATTTGAACTTTGCGTGTTGAAAAGCATCGTTTTATTAGACTTTGAAATCATACATTGGGTATTAACAAAAATATCTAAGAGCTTTCAAAATTTTGGGTTTTCATCGAGAAAGGGTTCCGCTTTCGAGTTTTGTAAATCCCCGACTTCCACTATCGAACTGCACCACCTGCAACAAGCGAACGTGCCGCAATCTGACAACTGACTAATGACAATGCCAAGCGTTTCCATTCGAATCGATGTTGGAGTAATGATGCGTTCGGCCCCAGAGCCCAACATCTGCATAGATGTATGTACTCATCTGCCATATAGGCAGACGTATATCTATAGATATATCTATATATATATAAGCAAGCGTATATATATATATTGGCAGACCGGTCTCGACACTCTGTTCTCACACACACACACACACACACACACTTACCCGTGTCCTTAATCCAGTAGTTAATTGATTTGGGCGAGGCCTCGACGTGACACTCAATTTGGACATCAGTGCCAAGTGGTGCGCCGACTAATTGATTCGGCACTTGGATGACCGGATGAACTGCAACGACAAGGAGAATGGGTATGAGTTTCGATAGGGCTGATAGGTGTCCGAATAATACAACATTTTCCAGCCGATCGGCTGGATTGGCTCAGGTTGGGCAAACCAGGTAATCAGGGTCATTTGTAAACCAAAGTCAAGGTATTTTCATTTATTTATTTCATAAATAATTAAAGCTTTATAATCTATAATAAATACTTAATACTTAACTAAACTTCTAAATATTTGTTTAACCCCGCAGTATTCATGATGTCGGACTACTCAAAGTTCCTTACCAACTTGACTGATCAGCTGGGCCTTCTGCCGGGACTATCACCCGTAGGACTGGGCAATTTGGGCAATTTGAGCAACAATCTGGGCAACTTGCGACCCACACACAAGGCTCTGATGTGTGTGGGTGCTGCCACTGTGGCCTGCGTTGTCCTTGGACTCACTGTGAAGTCCATAAAGGGGCGCAGCCGCAAAGACGACAAGAGTATCATCAAGGTGCGGAACGGGGCTTCGATCAAGCGTGACCTTGAAGGGGCTGACATGGACGAAGGGTCCTTTGGGGAGGGGAATGCAAATGTGGTGCCCATTCAAGGGCACTAAAGCCTGAAGGACCAGATCTAGAGATTTCCCAAAAAAACCAAACACACGTCCCACTAAGAAGGCCCCTCCATTATAGATGCTACAACCCTGTTTTGTGCGTTGCTATGTTCTCTGTATATTTTGTAATTTTATACCGTCTTCAAAAACGGTTATACAACAAAACATCTGTTCAAAATTCAATCAATGTTCATTCACAATTTCGGAAACCAAAGACTCAAAAAAAATGTAATACCCCATCTATGTAATCTTGATAATCCTATATAAAGCCATGTTATGTTAATGCGATAGTTTTTAGATTTTAAAATGACAATATATAGAATATGCGGAAAGCCATCGAAACTACTCAAAGAAGTACTTAAATATTTTAAATTATTAAATTGGGTATTTTTTATGGACATTATTAACCTTCTATAATTTTTGCTGTATACTATGTATGTGTGAACTTTGTGATGTGCATACCATTGGGCATTCGTAAAAGGACTCCCTTTGAGAGCAGAACAAAAGTTGGCTGGCGCACTTGATGGCCAATTGAGTGTGGCATAATTTGATAGTGTGAGCTTCTGGCTTTCCCGTTTTTGTGCTTCCAGGACTGATCAGAATGCAGTTCATGCAGAGAACGCTTCGTACGCTCCTGCATTGACAACTCTTTTGCCGATGGCCCGAACTTTCGTATTTATTGTCATTTAGTACGGAGCTCTGTAGGGGGGGGAGCGGGGGTGGGTTTTCTGACCAAAATTGGTGGTTTTGTAAAACCTGCCAGAGGACCGAAAAGCGAATACCCTGGCCCCACAGCATACGACTTACAGCTTACAGATTGCACATTGTCTCCGTGTGTATTTCCCTATTTCCCCATCCCTTAGCCCTTGAGACATTTGCGGCCATGTGCATTGATAGTTGATTGCAGGTCCTGCAGCGAGCAACTCCGTATTGCTCGTCCTGGTGCAGGACTTTGCCAGCCAGAGGATTTTAATTGATTTCCATGGTCGACTGCTCTCTGTCTTAGCCATCAACTATCTCCCTAATACCGCTCTTGTGGTTTGCCTCCTTAAATTTCATTTATGCATATAAAATAACGAGTCCTTTGCTTTGGCATCGTTACGCTTACTTTGTGAATTATTAATAGATTAATAGATTTAATTTGTTTACTAAAGTTCTTAACAAAAAAATTTTATTAGCTGTTGTTAATGTTAAATAAATTATGATCTAAGAGTCATATTGCCTTTCAAATTCCAAATACAAATAGAAATGTTGACACATTTAAAAATAAATTCAAAAGTACACTGACAAAACCCTGTAGTCAAAGCAAAAATATAAATCATTTACAATAGTTAAATTTCTAAGTGTTATGTAAATAAATTTGTGTTTTAAATAAAGCGTTACGAATATTTTACATATATTTAATATTTCATATAAAATCCAATTTTAGAATATTTTACATAACATTTTTAGGCCAGTGTAGATGGAAACGACACCAGTGTCTGTTGGGGTTTGAGGTGATTTTCGGGCCAGGCTGACGTGCTGGTCGACTGCCCCTGCTTTAATCCATATGTGAGATCAAGCTTTTGGGGGAAACTGAAAACTGGAAACTGCCACATTTCGGGTCTATCCTCAGTGCATTTATGCAGGATAAAGGACCTCTGCCTTCCCTCGGCACTTTCGCTGGACGATTTGCAATTTTGCAATGATTATTCTGAGCATGTTCCTGACTGGCCAACGGCCACCTTTCAACCTTTCACCTTTCACCTTTGGGCCATTCAGCCATTTGGCCAGGTGCTTTTGCTCTGCAGCTCGCTCCGTTTTGCGGCAAACAAAGCCACAAATATGCACTAATGACGTCGTCAGCTGCTGCTATCCGTGCCACGCCCACTTTCCATCCCCCTTGCCAACTGTCGCCCTCGTATTTCCCAGTTTTCTACCAAAAATTTTCGCAGCAATCTGCAGCAGCTGCAGCAGCAGACTCACATTTTGGGCAATTGTTTTTTGGAGAGCTTGAGTTGGTCGAAGGTGACAAAAAGTCTGAACTCATGCGTGCTGTAAGCTGCTAGTCGTTTCTACAGTGCGTTTCATTGGCATAGGTTTTAGACCCGTACCCGCTGACGGACATATCTCGAAGGGGAAATATGCTGCTAGAATGTTCTAATGCTTTAAGGCATCTGAATGATGGATATGAAGTTAAGAATTATTTCTGGAAATATTGTATTGTAAGTCACCAGAACTCCTACATTCGAGTATATCTTTGCCAAAATATCAGATGAACTGTTAGGTCCTAAAGGTTATTCTTTTTTTTATCTAATACAAATGCGTTTTTCGTTAACCCTTTACTGATAGATCTATAAGAGAAGTGGTAAAACTCCTTCGGTTTCATTGCTTTTTTCGTACTATTTTTTCTGGTGGCTTTTACACGTACGTGATTTTTCTCATTTTGCTACATTTATTTTCTGTGTGTTCGCTTTACGAACCATGGATCCGAAGGCTTGGCTAGGTGGGCGTTGCAGTAAAAAAAGGAGGCGTGACTGGGCAGCGGGACAAACGTGCCATGTGACCAAGACTGAAAATATAGATGAAGACGACATTTCCGGACTGGTTAAAGATGCAGTATTGCATATGGCAAACGACATGTTGCTCGCGGGATGCTGCATGTTGCATGCTGTTGGCGGGATGCGGCACGATGCCAGTTCCTGTTGCACATCCCCATAGGTGCAGCTAATTAGGGGAAGCGCCTAATAGGGCGGCAAGCGGAAAGCACTGTGCAACGGAAGCGGAAAATGCGGAATGTGCCAGGCATCTACACTGCTAAAAAAGTGCAATTGGAATGTAGAAATCAGATTTGATTTATATAATATATAATCTGTGGAAGGCGTAGCTTCCAACGGGATTTGGGGGCTCTTTTGATTTATATTCTATAAGTCAAGTTGAAATGGTTTAAAATTCAAACACTTCTTTTTTTGTTGTGTACTTTTATCAGCCACTTGCAGCAGTGGCGTACCATCTGCAACTGAACCATCCCGTGCAACTGAGTCCGCCAAAAGTTTCCGGGAAAAGAGCGCCCAGCAACTCTTTGGCAAACAAATTGCAAGGAAGTTGTTGCAAAATGGCAACAGGAAAAGTAAACACGCACCGGAAACGGGGAAAAGTTAGGAGGGGAAATCAAGAGAAAATGCAGGGGACGCCGCCACACTCGAGTTGATCAAAAAGTTTTCCAGGTTCTCGACTGTTCCTCGAAGATAACTGCTAACCAGCAACTGTTTACTGCTGACAAGCGGTCCGAAAAGTTTGACTAGAATGGTAGCAAACACGGCAATACCCATTAAATGAAAAGGGAAATAGTTTGCCAACCTAATCCTATTTCTATAGATTAATTAGGAAGAGAAGGTTATTGGAATATTATCATAAATCATACTGATTGCTTACTCGTAGGTCTTAGTCTTGTTTTTTTGGGATTTTATATTTCTGTTTTTTTTTTTTTGCTTTTATTACATTCCCAAAAGTTAAAGTATCCCCGTCACACATAGACGTAGTGCCACTTAAAGACCGCATTAACACAATGTCAAAATGTTAAAAGGCGTGATTTTGCCACCTAACTCGAAGGGTGGACCCGACAAAGGGGTGGTGCAATGGCAACGAGTCAACGAAAAAAAAAAACACGGGAGGAGCAAGGGGGCCTGGACAAACAAACGCAGTGCCACCCACAAGCCCCCTTATTGCCACACCCCGTTTTGACTGCCTTGATGATTGAGTGAACTGCCACATGGCAGCAGAGTCAAAAGTGCAGAGGCAGGGAAAAAGGGGGACTAAGAACTGGGGTTGCAAAAATGTAGTCGTGGAAATCGGGGGAGGGACCGCACGTGCTGCAGACAGTTTGACAAAAAAGCTGTGGCCCACCAGAAGTCCTTCCCCCCATTCCTCCTAAAAAAAAACACAAAAAAACACAAAAAACAACAAGCAAAGATGGAGCAGGTAATGCCCGGTATCAGTGACAGGATTTAAACGGATTACAACAAGGACAATCGAGTTAGCACGGCACATAGAGCATTGGACCCGAGTTTACCTTCTGTCTTCTACCGTTTGCCTTTTAACACAGAACCCCCTATACCCCCTCAAAATTTTGTACCTTTTATTCCTTGCGCTACGGGGCATTTCCTCAGCTGGAAAGAACTTCCTGTACACCGAGAAAAATAATGCACGTTATGGGTAACTTATTAAATACTAATATAAACTGCCCGTTACTATTATTCAATTTTATAATAAATGGCTATCATATACCTTATATGGTTTATATTTCATAGGAAATATAAAGAAAAATTACCCTACCAATGATATCAATAGGTGTTTTTTTTTTAAATTTCTCCTTCTAATTCCTTCCTAATTCTTAAAGTGCATAAACTTAATGTAAGATAAACGCCACAGCTGCCGTGGCCAAACTCAACTGGTTGACTGATGTTCATGATGGCGATGGCGAAGATGAGATGATGCGGATGAGGATGTGGTTGGGGGGGTATGAGGATGAGAATGTGGATGCAATACCGACAACAAAAAGAGTTGACCAACCGCAGGCTCCTCTAATTAATGGCGCAGTGCCAGAATGAGGGAGGCAAATACTCACAGTGTATGCTGAGGGAGATGCGCTTTGAAACCGACGGAGGCACTCCATTGGAGGCAATGCACAGATAGGAGCCCATCTCGTTCCTCGAGATCTTTGACAGCTTCAGCACCTCGCCGCGAAATGAGGGGGCTAAAAAGTGGTTGGAAAAGCGGGAAAAACAAATAAAGTATCTTCTAAAGAAGAACTGATATCGTAGAGAACTATTTACCCAGGGTCTTGGTGCCCACATTGTCCTTCAGGACAATCTCGTTACCGTCTTCGCGCCGCCAGGTGACAATCGGTTCTGGATAGCCGCGGGCCCTGCAAATAGAATACGGCAAAGGGACTGTAAGGAATTATGTTTTAACATGACTTCTATAATAAAAATATAATTTTTTAAAATTTTTTTAGGTAATTACAAATATTTTTATAATTTCCATAACTTTATCACACATTCTTTAATATCGTTAGACCTTCTTTGCTCAAACCTTTGGTTCCTTTTCAGGTAAAACACCCTTGATGATCGAAAAGCATTTAAGTAACCATAAACTATAAGGCAACTGGTCACGCCCCCTTATTGTTGATGGCAAATGGAAAATGGCAAATGCCAAATGGAAGTGCCGAGAGATGCCAAATGGAAAATATTCAAGTTCAGTGGCTTATTAAATTTAATATGACGATGCTTCAGCCGAGGGCTCCATTGTGTGCCCGAGTTGGAGTAAAAACTTTTATGCCATGCAAGGACAGGGACAGGAACAGGAGCAGGGAAAAGTGCAAAAGCAGGCAGGCAAAACGCTTGAAGCCAGCAGGCGCTCAAGTGTGTGGTGGGTGCAGTTGGAAAAATGTCAGAAAAGCCAGGTCGACGTCACAACTCCCATTTGTGATATTTTTTAATGTCAATATGTAATGTTATCATTTAAATTCAAAGAGCAATGCAAATATATATTTTAATGGTTTTATATTTTGTTATCAGACTATTAATGCAACAGATAAAAATAGTAATTCGCATATCTAATATACCTCGAAATACCACCAAATAGAGGGTATTTCTAAGAGAAATGCGTGTTAAGACAGCAGTTGTTCAACAGCAAACCAGACACGGGTGTGGTAAATTTTTATGATGCCGCAAACAGATGCAAAATGGCTAAAAAGAAAATCAACCAACACACAGATACTCCCATACACATGGCCAACACAATGGGCCAACAGTTAGCAGTCAGCGGCAGTATCTTGGCTATGTTTAGTCGGGCCAAGACAGTCTAGCTCTCTTGTCTTTCGCTTCTTTTTTACTCAAGTAAGTACAATTTACATGGCCCAAAAGACGACGGCTAGACAAAGCAAATTTCTAGTTCAGTTCAACAACTTGTTCAAAACAACTCAAAAGCGCCCCTCGCTTTGAATGACCTTCTTTGGTTTGTTAAGGTAAAATCTTTTGTCTTTAATCTTACAAAAATGTATGCCAATTATAAGGATCTCGTCAGTTGAAGTTAAGTTTACTTTTTGATAAAGTAATAACTAATTAAATTTATATTTTACGAATAAATAATCCAATAGTTGCAGCACAAAAAATACACTACAACAGCTATTTGCTATTAACCGCACTTTGGCCATGTTTTATAAATATTTCAAAAAAAACTCCTTACAGCATGGATTTAATTTTGTTAAAGTTTATTAGTCGATGCGTTTAATGCTCGCCACGCCAAAGTTGAATTCATTTTAAGGGATTTGCACTAAGTAGCATTAAAAACGAACTGAAAACAAAAGAGGAAATTCGCAGACAAGTCCTCTAATAGCTTTCCACACTCGCACATTAACACATGGAAAAGCGGCAAGAGCGCGCTTATCGCCATCGTTTCATCATTTTGCGGTTAAATCGTTGAAAAAAAAAACAAAGAGAGCAACACTTCGTGGTTGCGGTCAAGTTCATAAATCAGCCACCAAAACCACCCCCGCAAAAACCCCAAAAACACAAATTAGAGACTCTTTTCTGGTAATACCCTAATGCCTTAATACCCCTTAAAATAGTACGAGTAAATCGGTGATATAGGGTTAACTGTCTGTCAAGCGAAATCCCAGCTAGGATTCAACTTCTTCAAAAAACCTAACATACCCAAAGGGGGCTTAACTCTAGGGTGGCCAAGGAGTTCCGCTGCTAAATCAAGAGAAATGAAGTGTCACTTAATTTGTTGACATTATTACACAGAAAAAGAATGAAAGAAAGAATGAAAAGATGGAGAGATGGAATTGGAAGATGGCTAAAGAAAACGGATATTTAACTATTTTTGTTATTTAAGATTCTACAAATAAATTTCACTTAAAAAGCTTCAAATAAAATGTAATCCAAAGTGAAAACATTGCGTATACTTAATTTTTAGGATAAGATTAAGTGATTTTCCCTGCCAATCTACCAACTAAATTTTAAAAAATATCTGCCTTCAGTTCGGAAAAAGTTGTTATGAGGAATATTTAAACCGAATCTAAAACCATACACGGTACATACTCACCGACATGTCAATCGCACGGAACTGCCCTCCGGCACAATAACATCCGAGGAGGTGTCCTCGCTGATGAAATCCGGCGGAATCACGACATCCAGGAAGCCAATCTGCAGGTACAAAAAGAAAAAATAGTATAATATAATAAGACAAGAGACAACAAAAACATTAGCACGCAGCGGATTTCATTCCACTTACTTAAATTATCGCAAATTGCTAAAGGGACAAATGCATACTCATACGCATAGAGAGAAAAAACAAAGATATTTTTCTTATATTATATTGTAATACGAAACTATGTATGCTAGTCATCAAATTGCTTCGATAAGAAACTTTTATTTAAAATTTATTCAATAGATATATCGAGTTTGAGGGGAAATAATCTGAGTTGCTAGATAAATATTGCCATTTTTTCCACAGTGTACACTTGGCGAAAATTCGCTGATTATGCAAGTGGCTCGTAAAGCGTGGAGTAACGGCAAAGTGTTTTATATGGCAAGTGGAATGGTGTATAAAGCGAAGTGATGTCGAATAAACTAAGAATAAACTAAGCCAAGGTAAATAGTTTAAGACGGAGTAAGGGGAGGTGTGGTGGTAAAAAGGGGAGTTGGGCGGTCAGTACGGTGCACTTTGACCCTGCTGCTCTTGCTGTTGATGTTATTGTTGTTGTGGAAAGCGTAAAAGTGCAAATAAAAATTAAGGAAGCATGAAATACATTTTATTGGCACCATAAACTTCACTTCGCTGGACACACGAGTGTACGTGTGAGCGGACATACCCACACACACACATATATGTACCGAAAATACACACACGAAATTTATGTATGTGTGCGTACATGATGCTGCCAATTTATATGCCCCAACATTTTCCTTTTTCCACCCCCCCTCATCATACCCCATTTTCGCATAGTTTTCGCTTTCGATTTGCTGCGCTTTCTTTTCCCCAAACAAGCAGAAGAATAAGTGGGTGGAAAATGTGGGAAATCGTCGGAGGGAAAGTGGTAGAAATGGTGGAAAACAAACAATAACTACGGCAAGTACAACAGCTCAATGCATTCGCATTTTCCTTCACCGTTTAATGCCGCATGAAAAGAATGGATCGAAGAAGGGGGAATAGCATTTTCACAAATACCAATGAGGTCGTTGCCAATATCATGAATATAAAATACAAATCGAAAAGTTGGGCATAAAACTAATCAGGATTATAAAAAAAAATAGTTATAAAAAGTTAATAAATAATTATTAGATCTCCTGTTAAGATTTATCTATTTTTATGACTTAATTTGAAGCCTTGGCAAATTTTTATTATTATCTTAATATTTAAAAGTTTAACTCACTTGTTGAAGTTATAAATTTGTTAACTAACTGTAGATTGTACTCTTCTTTATTTAACTAATTCTGAAAAATGTCCTTTATCTGAATTTCTATATAGCAAATAACAGTGCGTATACGAGATTTTATTTGCAAACCCGTTAAGTATACGATTTTGGAAATTTGTACGAAGTAGTTGTTTAAACAATGCGAGCTGATTTCACTAAGGTGGAGCTTGAAAACCGCTAATATAACTTGCAATGTTCTGTTAAAGGTCGCAATTTGGATTTTTGACTCAAAACAATAAAGTGTTTTGCCACAACAATCCTATAAATGGTTGAAATGAAAAATACTGATCTCGTAATTAAAATTCTATATAAACTGCAATCAAACTGCTCTCTGCTGTCAAAAGACGTATACGTGATTTGGACGCAAAAATATCAGTTTCTTGGCCATAGCACAGCCAAAAATGGGCCAAATGAGGAATGTAATACATCGTAGGGACCGCAACTTGATTGCCATGATTCCCAATTGGTTTGCATTCAAATCTGGGGAACTTCATTTTGGGGCCATTTTTGAAAATTTTGATGTTGGTACCCCTTATCAAAAATGCTAAATTTGGGCCAAAATTGACTTTCCCAAAATCGAAAAACTAGTGATAGGGGTTGTTAGTATTGGTCGTTAGCAGCACAAAACAGTCGTTCTTTTGGCTGTGCGTCTTGTTTTGACCGAGCTAGAGCTAGAGAGAGAACTAAAACGGTCATAAAATGTTGTACATCGGAAAAATTCCATATCTGATTTTTTATCGAAAAAATATTCAGTATATTTCTTACAGAAATCGAAATAATGGTCTGATGATAGAATGTCATACATTCCCGAAATCGTAATTAAAATTCCAATAAAACTGCATTCACAGATAAAAATGTAAAATGTAGACCCATTTTTGCAAAAAATCCTGCTCCCATATTTTTAGCAAAAAATAATTATAATTTTGTTTAACAGCGTTTCATTCTATTACGAGTATCACTCACCTGGCTTTTCATCGGATCTGTATTAAGTTGGCACATATAACCACCGCGATCTTCCTCGGATACCGCTTTGATGTGTAGATTCCACGTGTTCTGGTCCAAATGACTGACAGTGACACGGGGGTTGTGCGTGATCACGTTCTCGTGAATGGCCTGTATAGCCTTGGTGTCGGCCTTAAGCCATCCCACCTTAAAAGAAGTTATGTTAAATTAAATTTTTCGTAAACTTTTAAAATTTTAAAAATACATATTATTTGACCGTGAAAATGAATTGCTTGTTTTCTGTATAAATTCAAACCGTAATTGTCTTTAAAAAGGTAAGTAAAAATGATTTTTTTAAGTGCGTTGACTTTTACTGTTCACTTACCCGATAGCCGCCCAAGTGTCGGACGTGACACGTGAAGGTTGCATCGCGTCCGACGGCCACGGACACGTTGGAAATGCTCTCCACGAACTCCGGCTGAAAGGCGCCAATTGCTGCAAGGACGAAAAAGAGAAAGAACGAGCGAGATTAGAGTGCAGCGGTGTGTGTGTGTGTGTGTGTGTGTGCGGCGGTTAATGATATCGCGCCAGTTCACTGGCAATGCATTCAAGGCCCCAACCTCTCTGTGAAATAACACCCCAAAAATAGCATACCCCACCTCTCTTGTTGCGTCTGCCAAAAAGACCGTGATTTATCGCTTTTAAATGTGCCCCAAAACCACCCATTCACATACACAGACCCACCTAGCAACCCATTCCCCCTTTTCAACCCACCACCCACTGCATTCCGGCCTTGCCAACAACTTAACTGTGCCAGACGACCGGCGGCGGCAGACAATTTAAAGAGCTGCGGCGGCTAATTGAAGATCGACATCCGGCTGGCACTCCGACTCTCCGGGTAACGAGAATCCAGAGTCTGGGCAAGAGTACGGATACGGTTACGGTTACCGGGAGTGGGCAAGGGCAAGGGGATGAGAACAGAGCACACGCAAATATAAATAATTTATTGAATAATCGAAAATCAAACATTTCACTTGCAAGTGCTGCAAAAAAGTTTTTCAGGCCGTAAACGGAAAAATTGGGATATGGCTACAGAAATAGTGAGCTTGGGAAATACTCTAACTAATAGTATTAAGTATAAAATTAATAAGTTTCAAAAACTTAAAATTATATAATTTTGATAAAACCAAAAGAAAATTTGTAAGCATTAAAGATAGTTATAAAGCTAATAAAACCCATAAATAATTTTAGAACAATTTTATAGATAAAAACTCATATAAGAAAGAACAATGTGTTCGGCTTCTTTGCGGAATCAGTGGGACTCCTTCAAGGTGTATAGCAAAAAATAATGGAACCGAAGGAGGTTAGTTGGAAAAATGTGAATGGAATGGATCGTGTGGCTTCACCAGACAGCAGCAGCCACGCACGACTGCTGTCCTGGCCGCAAAATCCCCGAATATCCCGAATATCCCTTACCAGCGACGTCTACATCATCGTAATGCATGCAAAAAACTTTTGGCAAACTTGAAATTTAAATATTTATAGACATCCGTTGACTCACGAACGAATTGCCGGGACCGAATATTGTGTGTAGAAATATATATAAATATATATATATATATATATATGTGTTACTAAGGAATGTGCTGAATTGACTCAATTGGCCAAAGGCATGATTTATCGCACTTTCGGTGACTCTCTGTATGTGTGTGCCTGCCAAATGCAAAACGGAGTCCCAGGAAGTTCTACAGTTGATAATCTGGATAATCTACTTGCTGGCCACAAGCTAAAACAAGAGGAAACGCTATAGTCGAGTGCCGCGACTATAAGATACCCGTTACTGTTTTACACAATTTTAAAATATTAATTTTGCTAGTGGAAATTCACAAGGAGCCACCTATTGTCAGAGGAAGTATGTTGAGTATGCTTATAGTGACGTCACTGCCCATGTGGAGCCTTATAACCTTAATTTCTTCATAAATAGCGAAATAATGTTCCGATTTGAAAAATCTTTTGTAAATCGATAGATATTAACAGAAATAAGTTACAAAAGGTCAAACGAAGGCATTCATAATAATATTATAGACTCCACAGTTTTCCGCGGTTTGTGGGCGTTAGAGTGGGCGTGGCCGGAAGCAACTTCGTGGCAAGTTGCAGAGGCATCTCCTAAATACGTGTTCCTAAGCAAAATTGTGTAGCTTTTATAGTTTTCGAGATTTTTGCATTTTTGGTTTTTCGGGTTTTGTGGGCGTTAGAGTGGGCGTGGCGTGATCGGAAAAAAACAATTCGCATTGGGAGCATCATAGAAACATACATGCTTGATCCGAACTTTCTATCTCTTATAGTTACCGAGATATCAGCTTTTCTAGAAAATCCGAAAACGGTCTTTTGAGCCTTGTGGGCGTATGGGTGGGTGTGGCCGGATAGTAGTACCACTATAAGATGCGCTGTCATCTAAAGATTATACTTTCTGAAATTCAACTTTCTATCTGCAATAGTTCCTGAGATTTCAGCAATTTCAGTTTTTTGCGATTTGTGGGCGTTAGAGTGGGCGTGGCTGGATGCTGTAATAAACTTGCGCTGTCCCGGGACCTCAAGAATCTTCATGCTTAATCTCAGCTTTGTATCTGCTATAGTTCCTGAGATCTCAGCGTTCATACGGACGGACGGACGGACGGACGGACGGACGGACGGACGGACGGACGGACGGACAGACGGACATGGCTCAATCGACTTCGCTATTGATCCTGATCAAGAATATATATACTTTATAGGGTCGCAAAAGCTTCCTTCTATCTGTTACATACTTTTCAACGAATCTAGTATACCCTTTTACTCTACGAGTAACGGGTATAAATATTCCAGCAAGTTGATTTTGAGCAAGTGAATAAATTCATTGCTGAATTAATTGCTGCAATGCACTTAATTGAAGATCGAATTGATTGAATTCATTATTGATACATTGGCAAATTCAATGTTCATTTGATTCGGAAAAAGTCGTTAGTAACAGAACAATGGCTGAATTAAACCAAATAAATTTATGGGCTGTGTTTTAAATGTGCGGAAACAGTTCGGCATTCAATTTTAAATTTTATTTTTACCCTTTACATAAAGTCATAACATAATTAAATTGAAATAAAATTTAAAGACAGTAGCACATGTAGTCATTTGATATTTCTAAGAAACTTTCGGATTATTTTATTTTTTATTGTTGAAAAACTAAATCTTTGTATTAAATTTTGAAGTGCTGCAAACTAAGAGATTTGGTTCTAGGAACTCCGTAAGCACTTCGAGGGGAAGGAGTACCATTACCATTCCGAAAACCCAAAGTGTTGTGGGTGCGGACAGTACAGTGGAGCCTGGCCTGCGGCAATCCCTCTCTAACTCCTCTCGCCCCTTTGGCCAAATGGCAAATGCTGTTGCTGCTTGGCTGACTGCGGCTTGTTTGTCAATCTGTCGTAGAGTCCTGCATGCAGGCGAAGATGTTTTCCAGCATTGTGCCAATCCCAATGAAATTGTCACCGCTCCTCTGGCAAGTCCCCTACTCCCCCAGCACACCCCTCTCTACTACTTCAATACCTTAGCCAGTTGTTTGTGAACTTTGGCTTGACTTCTCTGGTCGTAGGTCAGCCTCCTTGGAGCCTTTCTGCCAGGCATTTTCAGCTGCCAAGCCAGAGTCAATTAACCCCCGACTTAGGTCCACTCGAAATCCAGGTCCCCCTCCTCCGCCGCCTCATAAATCTCTACCTCGCCTTCATTTCAATTTTCGGTTCCACCATTTCGAGTCTTGTCAATTTTTGGCTCAGATCCCGAGGCTCCTTTTCGCATTCTCGCATTTGCTCGGTGAAAAAGTTTAAATCACACAACGACAATGAGGATTTGCCGTAGCAAATTTATGGCTAAGGACATTGGCAAAAGTTAAGCAAACGTATTAGTTTTGGGTGGCTGGGTGTTTTATATATATATATATATATATATATATATTTATATGTGTGTGTGGGTGGCAAGGTAAACACACACGATTCGATACAAAGATGCCAATCTGCATGGGAATGGAAGTGCGGACTGGAGACCAGAACTCTGATTTCTGCACTTGGAGAAAAATGTGTCTACCATGGGACTACCATTATTAAAATATCCAGAAATTAACCAAAAAGTAACCGATTATTATGAATTATTATTCTTCTTGTCACATTTCGTAGTCAAATATCATTATTCACTAATTTTTTTTCACTGTACGATGTCACCTTTTCCTTGGCCGTTCGTTTTTTATGGCCTCACACTTGAACAGGCCCACAAATCCAGTGGCAAAGCACCAATGATAGGTGATAATGGCAAATTTGAAAGGCAAACAGAGTGGGACTCATCGACCCAAAAGACACCAAACTTAAATACAACAAACTGCTGCTGGAAACGGAAACCAAACTCTGTCTTAAAGTCAAATTTTTCGGTCAAGACAAACAAATGACTTGAGAGTCAGAAAAAAACAAAAAAAAATAAGAAAAACGAAGGGAAAACAGGGAGATGCCTGCAAATGACTGTCGGTTGGCATTGAAATTAGCATTTTTACAAATCGTCGTCGGCTGAACTAATGCCAATTTCCTCTTACTTTTGCCCCCTGGAAAAAAATTCAATTTAAATTTTTCTGGCTTCCCCCTTTTTTCCCCCCTAACAAATGTCACACAATTAATTGTGTCTTGATTTCTGTTTCACACTTTTGTGTTATATTTTTTTATGTGCGTGTTTTTTTTTTTGAAAAGGGTCAGTCTTTAATTGACAAAGTTTTCAGTTAGCGAAAGTGTAGGAATCTTGAATATGTTTAATATTATCAGGGTATTTTGATCTACTTTTATATAAATATTTAAACTGTCTGATTGATTTTGATTTGATTCATAATTTCATTTCATTTGTAAATAAATCTTCATGTAATTCCATTTAAATTCGAATGACTTTTATTATTTAAAAAATTAAATTTTGTTTTTTGTTTCCTTTCATTGCATTTTTTATCTTAAACCTTTTTTTACGATTCTGTAACTTCAATCTCTATTTCTGTATTTTTCGAATTTTATTCCTTGAGCGTCCCATATAATTAATTACAAATTACGTGCATTTTTTGGCAGAGTAACTTTCCTCGCAGAAAAAAAAAACCTAGTAACTCCGTCGCGGCTTTTCCCGCTGACCGCAGACGCTAAAAGCCGAAGAACCGCCGACGAAAAAAAATTGTAAATAAAAATGCAGGATAAAGGGAGTTGAAAGTTAAAACTTGGAAAAATGTAGTAAAAAAGCGCATAAACACAGGGAAAAAAGTATTTGAATTTACTTTGATATTTTTATGGAAGATATGTATAATTATTGTCTGAAGAAGTAATTATACGATTTTTTGAGTTATCTCTTAGAAAAATGTTTGTAAAATATAAATGTAAATATAATAAATATAGAAATGCAGTTTTAACTGTATCATGATATAAAAATCATAGTTACACTCCAGTGTTGTTGGTATCAATTAAGTCACTCGTGGGACAGCAACAAAAATGGCCATTAATGACGCTATCTCGCTCCCGCCATTTGGCCATATTGCGGTTTAGCTTACATTTCACAACCGTTGGGTGGTTATTCAATGGGACGGTGATACAGTTGAATGTGGGTGGTCTTATAGGCGACGGCAATGTTCTATTCGGCAATTAATTTGCATATCATTGATATGCACACACAGTAACAAACACGCACATGCACATTATATTTGCTTAGGATTATTATCGGTTATTAATGTTGCTGTAATTGAAAATTATTTTCACTTTTATGTTTATCATTATCAGCTGCCATTACATCCCACATTCCCATCTGCGGCATTATCGTCGCATGGGAATTATTGTTTGCCGTGATTTAAGTGCTTTAAATATGCACATCTGCATGTATTTAATATTTATGCGGACCCAGGACGAAGCGTGGGCCACGTCCATGCATAATTATCAACTTTATGGGAATAGTTTTTGGGTACTAGACAAGGACTTTCTGGCGTTTTGTCAGGGGGGTTTTTGGCCACCAGTGACACATGTAAAATTATAGATTTGGATCCAAAGAGTTACCAGCTTATGCGCTGTGCATTCTCATCACCATTCAGCTTGGTTTTAAATGTCAAAAATAAATATTTTTCACTAAATATTTATTTATTTTGGAAAGGGTTTTAAGAGGGAAAATTGAATAAAGATCTAAGAACCTATGATATGTTTCTATGCTATCTCATCTATTATAAATACAAATGAATATTTCCCTATACAAAGACATAGTTTACAACCTAAGTTTTAACCAATTAAACTACATAAATCTTTTATTTAAAAACATCCTAAAACCTAAAAGCCCTTATAAAAAAGCAAGCATTTATAAATAGTATTCTGCTTATTTAATTTTTATGCAGCCATAATACATTTGATTGCTAAATTAGTTTGGTTTACTGGCAATTAAATGGATGATATCCAATTTTTGGGGGAAACTCAACTACCGCGGCGCATTGAAAGCCCCAAAAGCAAATCAAAATTAATGATATGATTTAACCACATTGGCTGGGGAATATAAAAACAAAAGGCCAACTGTTTTTAGAACGAATTGCAAACAATAAAGACTGCGCTGTAAATATTTAATGGTAAGGAAGGAAAGTATTTGTGATTGTCGCGCCGACGTGAACAATTTGGCACTTCATTTTTTACAATTATCAGACGACGGTCAGACAATCGTCGACGGGCCAGGTGAGGAAAAGCCTGTGCGGTGTAAAAGCCAGGAAAACTGGGTAGCAAGGTGAAAACATAATTTTTACACAATTAAAGTGAGGCGAAAAATATGTGTGCTGGACAATTGAACGTGCGAAACAGTGGATTGTAAAATTTATGCGACTACTGGTCACTACAGTCAAAATATCTATTATTATGTAATATTTTTTTTGGTAATTATCACTTTTGCACTTTCTTAGATATAATATTACCTATTTAGCTTTTTTCCCACAGTAAATGTTAAAACAAAAAAAGCAATCATAAATTATAGTTTACACAAAATGTACTTTTTAAGCCGTTTTTATATATAATTTTTGCAACATACTGTAAAATCCCTCTGAACAGATTTTGCACGAATTGTGATATCAAAAGGATCAGCTCGGAAAATATGAATGCGAATGTGAATGTAAGTGGATAAGTGAGTCAGTGAGTGAGTCAATTAAATCGCCATTGAATGGCCAGTGTTCAGTTTTCGATGTTGCCCGTTGTCTTTTGTTTATTTATTTATTTGTTTGTTATTTATACGTTTTAATGCCAAATGGCAATTGGCAATTGGCAATGGCAACAATGCAATGTGCATAATGCGAAATGCGAAATGCGAAATGGTAGCCATGACAGTGCATTAAGCAGTCTCCAGCAGTTATTAATCGCTCAACTTTCCCGCTCTCTCTCTCTCTCATCTGTGCGGGTTAAATAGACTCGCATCGCGGCGAAACAATTATCAAGTCGGTTTGCGTTCAATTGCCCGCCGGAATGTGTCCGTCCGTTCGATATCCGTTTCCTGTCCGTCGCTGCACAGCACTGATTACAGGGTTGCATTTTGGCGGATGGACACTGCGATAAGCCCTAGGTATCTCCCTTAAGCCCACTTCAAACAGATCTGTTAAGTATTCAGCCAGCCCACTAACAAGATCTGACTTTTTTATACGTTAAACCCTTTGGTTGGTTTTTCATCAGAGAAGAAATATTTTAAAAATAATAAAGCTGGCTTATTACGACTCATTAATCCAGTTTATCCTTTAGTTTTTTTTTTATTATTTAATAGCCAATATCGATCTATATTCCAAATATTAAGAGCTGTGGCTTTTCAGGTTTTTCTTTAAAAGGTTGTAAGTTATCTCCAAAAAAACAAACTAGCCAGCTTTCAATATTATAGAATAAAATTAAATTCTAAAAACGCAATTTGGAATTTACGTGTTTTACAATTCTAAAATATTAGATTTTTGTTTTTTAAATCTCCTTTTATTTCACTGTGTGAAAATGAACCTAATGAATATTTTAAGATAACACCATATTTTACAGCCCTTAAAATCAATATCTTTCAAGAACTTTGTAATTCTCGTTACTTTTCTGAGGCTTTTACCTTCCAGGAGCGAAACGACGACCAGCAAGTGGATCAGCATTTTGCCATTCCGATCGGACTTGGCGAGTTGAAAATTCCGAAATAACCGTTTCGCCGTGAATCGCATTTGGGTATTAAAAATTCCTCAACGACATTTGCGATCGGTACGCGAAAAGAACAGTTTCACTGCACAGAAAAAATTCAAAAAAATATTCACCCAAATGTATTGGCTTAATGTTTTCTTTTTTAAATTTTTTTTTTTTTTTATATATATAAATTAACTTTTTTTAGGGACGCGAATATTCCGTATTTGGCAGAGATGGTGGCAGAGACTGGCGACAGGATTCGAGTTCCGTTTGACCGTTTTTCAACCAGCCGACAGCGCCGACGTTGATCAACTGAAGATGTAGCTGCCGGAATAAGCATCCTTTTGGCATCAGGATGGCCGACGAACGAAGGTGCCATCGCTGCCGAGGATAAACGAATGCCAGACGAAGTGAAACGAAATCCTGTCGTAATCGTTAGCCGTTGGATACTGTAAAACCGAACTGGTTTGCCGAATGTCCTGGTGACGAACCCTCGTTGCCAATTGTCGAAGTGGATGTTCGAATCGAACGGCGTCCACCATGTGCCGAATGCCATCCACATAGCGGGCACGTGGTGGAACGTATGGCTTATGGATGACAGCGGGGGGATGATATGGCGGCGCAGGCGCCGTATCCTTCGGAGGAGGAGTGTCGTCCGCATTCGTCTGACAAATGGTACGACAATTGCTACAAGCTGTGGTGGCATTTGGCCACCGCCTGGCTGAATCTCCTGCGACCACAACGTCCAAGTGGTGTGACAGGAGGGTCCGTTTAGGCGTTGGGCGCCAGTTTTGATGAGCCAGAGATTGCGTCAGGTCATTGGGATTTGCAGTTTTAACAGTTTCTAAGTTCAAATTACAAGAGGCCATCAATTTTGGTAAAATGCTTTAAAAATTTATATCAAGGGACATTTTCTTAGAAACCTTAAATAAACCTCAGTAAGCTTCATACCAATAGGTCATGGTTAAGCTTTTAAAGCTATAAATTTGGAAAAAAAATAATTCTCCCAACGGTTGTATACATTTTTCACAAAGACAGGAATAGTGACTAAAGTTCAAGCTGATTTTACAGTTTAGTCAATGCAATTATTTCCTGGCATTCCTCTACAATTTATACTTAGAAATTATAACTAAAAATCGAAAAGAGAAACAAACTAAAAAAATAGATAGGTTATCATTTACCAAGACTGTTGTGTATAACGTAATACCTTAATTACCTGTCAATTTATTAAATAAATTACTTATGTATTTAAATCGTTTCACGATGCACGTATAAATCATTTGAGAGTTTTTGCATATTCATGGCCAATTACTTATCCCCGAAATCCTCATAAGTTGTCCGTTACCAAACTGGCCTCCAGCTGACATTCGGTGGTTGATCAACCTCCCAATCTCTCACACCATTTCCATTATCATTTTGGCCATTCGAAAGGAGCAACTTTCGCAGCATTGGGCGGAAAAAGTTTCGAATTGCATTCTGCATTCTGTCAGATAAGCAGGCGACACAATCCCCAATCGAAATCCCAATTGACATAATTTTCAATATTTCAATGTCGTGGCAAAAATAGGAAGATTTCGTTGAAATTTAATTGAACTTTAACTGTCAGTTTTTTGGGTCCTCGGAGGCGTCGCCTTCGTGCTTACATTGATAGTGATAGCACATCTTTTGGCCAGGGATGTGACAGGACCGAAAGTCAGGGCCTGTCAAAGCTGCCACAAAGTGGCTTAATTATCCAATAGAAGCTAGATTCTGGATGTCAGCGGTTGCCAGTCATCTTAAATTGTGGATAGTAACTTCAACTTTTCCGCTAAATAACTCAATTACGCCACTGACTTTTCCTGATGACTGTTAGCAAAGGCATAATTATGCCATTATGCAATTTTTACCACCCGATCTGCTTAAATGAATTGCAGCTGCTCCGCCATCAGCTGAAATGCGCTGCAACAAATCAAAGTGCGATTCTTTGAATGCCACGACGAAAAACTTTTCGGCAATTATCCGCAGGAAAAGCGAAGAAAATCGAAAGGAAGCGGATGGGGGGAAAAAGTTGGATGAGCGAATTAAGTTAAATCATAGCTTCTAGGAAGCTTTTAGGATGATCCCAAATTTAGTTTCCCTCACAATATTTATCACAATATTATAATAATTCACTTTTAACTTGATATTAGGCTTATAATAGTCATAAATATTATTTTAAATAAACTAAACAATGTTTTAAAATATTTTCCATTTTTTACTTATTATAATGTCTATTTAAAACCAAAGACTTCTTCCAGATTTTCAGTTTCAAAGCCCCAATTAAATTTCTGGATTATTAACACCTATACAATGGGGCGCCAAATAAGTTCTCGACAAAACACATATGGTTAACTAATCCGACTCTTTTTTCACCACTTTTCCTCAGAAAACTTCTGGGACAACGAAGAAACCAAAACCAAAACTTTTGTTTCTAAAACTCGTGTTCCAAGTACCCCGCACAAAAGGGAAAATTCTGACCGAAGATGGGCCAGGTGTGTGTGAATTTTGAATTTGAAAACCCCCAACCTACACCTTCCTTTTTCTCCTTGTCTGGCAGACACCTGCTGGAGCTGTAATAAGTATGGAGCGACTACAATATCCTGCCATATCCTAGAAATATATATGAGTAAAGGGATATACATTGATGATGGGTCATAAATCTTACATATATTTATGTCGAAAAACCATATTTAATCTTTATAATTCATATTTTGTATACATTTTGGATACTTTTTATGTTTTTGTTAAGATTATTTCTATATAATATACGGTATTTTGTTGGTCCTAAAATATTCCCAAAAATCATGCTTGTTCTTTGGTTGTTAGGTGTTAAAGCGGGCGAAAGTTGGAGGCCATGTAGACAAGGACGAATAAGGGTGGGAGCAAATGGGGAGAGCGACGAGGGAGACAGGAAGCAGCTGCATGTGTCGCGTACGTGTGCGACAACAACAACACGGCGAACAAGCAACAACAGTGTGACCAAATGTGCATGTGAGTAGCTGCGTAGGTGTGACTGTGTGACTGTGTGCCTGTGTAAATCGCACATTTCAATTTGCATGTGTTAGCGACAAACTTTTGATAAGTGTTACTCGCATTACACAAAGGGAAGGAAAAGGAGAGCAGGATTCACAAACTTATTGTCAAACACGAACAGGAACCATCACTCCCACACCCATACATATGCAAATTCATTTGCCACACACAAACAGACACATACATATCAATATTTTTCAGGCAATATGTACGTGCTCGGCGAATTTCGCACACCTCGGGATCGATGGATAATGAAATAGCACACTGCATTTGGTATATTATGGAGAAAAATTTCAAATTATCTGCGAAATTGGTTTCACTGGTAAAGTGAAATAAAACTGGAAATGAGATAAGACTATAAACAAGGTGTTAAAGGCAAGGGTTGACCATAAAAACATATTTATGATACTGCTGTTTTTTGAAGAGAGGTAGTTTTCAACTATAAACTACGCGTGCAACTTAAATTTCTTTATCAAATTCATTTTTTTACTGAATATGCTTAGGGACACATAGATTTCAATATGTATATCGATAATTTAAAGAACTCAATTCCTAAGAATCAATTCGTTGATTAATTGACGACCAAAAGATCTCACTAAGCTGGTCCAACATATATATAAGGGTCACCAGCGAACGTTCCTTTTCTTCTTCCACCAACAAACCCCATCGTAATTTCCCCAAACCATTTTCTACTTCCACTTTTCTCCCGTTCGTTGAACGTTGATGAGTGCTCCGGTTATCTGGCATACATATTCCCATGTTAACTGCCTTAGTGGGGAAAAGCTGGAAATGTGGGCGGTACTAAAGGGTGTATGTATGCGAGTGTGGGTCCTTTCAGAATTATGAACATATCCTGTGAATTGAAGAACGTCATCAGGGCAGACAAAAGGCAAAACAAATTGAGAGCACAGCATATGCTCTATATCTCTGCTCTGATGTTCATCTAGCTTTTTTTTTTTAGAATATTTATAGAAAAAAAAAATAAAAGAAAAGGTTACCTTCTTCTTATGCATTGCTTATGGTGATTTACCTAATGTTTTTTTTTTAATATATGGAAAATATTTGAAATTTCTGTATGAAAATGAAATCAAGGCTTCCATTTATCCTAAAAATATAAGCATTTATTTACAAATTATTAAACGCTTCCTTATATGATTAATCTATTAAAAACCATATTTTCCTAGGATTCTTAGCTGTTTTTCTCGAGATCCTGGCAACACTGTTGGCCACATTTTTAGGTGCAACATAAAAACTACACCCACCGACGTGTTATCTCTCGGCTGTGCGTCATTTCACAAGAAGAAGAAGAAGAAGCAGCAGCAGGAGAGGCAGACCGCAACAAAACAAAATCTGACAATAAGTGTGAAAATGCCGCCCCTTTCCACTATTTTCTCCCACCCTTACCTACCATGCAAAACTAAAAGAAAAATGTTTAAATATTTCCTGCTTTTTATTGTGGTTACAGTCGCTACCCGTCCCTCTCGCATCTCTATCTCCCTCTCTATTGCAAAATCAAAAGCTGAAGTGAAGCTGAAAAAAAAAAAAATGAAAAATAACAGCCACAACGAAGAAAGTGGTACCAAAAAAAAAAAAAAAAAAAATGAAAGCTCAGGAAGTGAAAGAATAAGGAGTTTGCTCAAAAGGGTAGAAGTTTCGAATATCCAAGGTTTACATTTACGTAAATCTACAAAGATTATTAAGGCGTATGAAGAGAGATATGATGTGAGATATGATTTTATGACAAAAATAAAGCAAAAATTATTTGCTTACAATATTTCAATTTTATAAATGGTATTACTACTACGTCCCTTATAAGCAGCATAGGCAGTTATATTTTCCATTCCAGGGTATTTAAAATGTCCTTTAACCATATACATATATATGTATTTGCAACTGAACTATCAGTGGAGCAAGAAGAAGAAACAGCAGAACAAACGGGAGCGAAGCGTAAAAAATAGCAACACTTTCCGTGTGCTTTGCTTTGTTGTGACCTACACAGAAAAAAAAACTTTAAAAATTCAAAATCCCAAATTAATTCTGTAAAGCTAAGCCCACTCCTTCAAAGCATTAAAATAAATATATCCTAAATGGAAATGATCAGAAACATTTGGTAAAAAAAAAAAACCATATAACATGGCAATGCAATGAATATAGAAATATTTTTTTCACTGCATTGCCGTCATCGTTTGCTGTTTACTTTTATTGTTGTTGCTGGCCGCGGCGGCGCTCGAAAAATATG